CTCGCACCCCCCCACATCCCCCCACCCCCTCCATCACGTACCCACCATGTGATAAGGAAACCAAAAGCAAACATTAAAACATAGATATTTAGGATTTCTTTTATTATGATGCTAGAGACACTGGTAGGCTTCCAAATTTCTTTAACATTGTAAATATAGCAATAAAACATTGCCCATCTGATGAATCTCTCCCTCTCTTTTGTTCCAATTGTGGAAGAATGTGGATTTTGGGATATTTTAAAAAGTAAATTTGGGATTCTGCTTCAGCAGTCTAGCTAACACAACGGGCTAGTGTCCCCAGATACCAAGTGACTGGGCCTCAGAAGCTCCTGAAGGCAAGTAGCCCTGAGCTGCTGGCCAGAGCAGGGTTTTATACTGCTGGCCTCAGGCTCTAGCTCCCCCTGGCTGCAGATCTGGGAGGAGCCAAGCAGGGTTATTTTGCCCCAAATGGCACAATTTGCTCCACAACAAAGTGCATGTCCAGGCACATGCACTAAGGCAAAAAGCCCTGGCTTAAATTTGTACCACTTCTATTTAAGCTGCTGCAAGTGCACATGCTTGCATGTGTGGATGCACCCATAAAGTTGTGCATTCATTATTTTTAATGAATTTGCCATCTTTAAAAGTATCTACGCTGCAAGTATACATCAGAGATTGGGACAAAGCTATCAGTTGAATTAGGGACACTCGCTCTCAAATGAGAGCTCGGTTTTTCCTGAAGCAAATTGGTATCTGTGACTGTACACACAAACAGTAATTCAAAATGGGTAGAAGATTACCAGTATATCACAACATGATTTACTTTTGCTACAACTCACCACCAGTGGTTTTATATATGAATAATTTGGAAAAATGTTTTCACTGCTACAGTAACTAGAGTATTGGCCTAGTAATTGTTGCACTTCGGGTAATGCACATTAAGTTGTGCCTCCATTGTGAGGTACTAGAAAAATGCCCATTAGCCTATTTTAATGCGCATTAGCTATAGAGCATGTTTTTGTGACAGTTTAATGCGCATTAAATAGCATGTGTAGATGAGCCCCTTAAGACTATTTTAGAGTGGGATTAATCATTACAGATATAGCTGCCTGTAAGCTATTTTATATAATCTTGGTGTTGTGGAGTCACAGGAGGTTGTTTTATTTTATTTTATAAACATTTCTATATGATGGAATATAAGTTTTGTTTATAGAGAGTTGAATTACTAGATTAAATTTAATAGCAGTAGGGAAAAATGCTTGTCTAATGTTGACCGTGACCAAAACAGTTACATTCCATTTAATGTCTATTCAGGTATTCTGTAAGTATTCAATGTCTGCATACTTCTGGTGTAAAAAATGCAGAACAGTCGCTTATATTTGCATTCAGAATACAGTAATATTAACAGCCAACATAACTATTGTACAGTTAGTTGTTATTCACCCAGCAGTAATCTTTAGATTGGTGGTGCTTAGCTTTCTGGACCTGTAGGCTGACAGAGTTGTTGTGCAAGGCCGTTTTGCAAGATGGATTGGGCCTCACATACCAGGATTGGGCCCTGCACCACTCCTGGGATGGGCCTTAGGTTCCACCCAAGTGCCAGAATTGAGCCCTGGGGATTGGTCAGATGCCGGATCTGGTCTGCAGGCCAGGGGTTGAGCATCCCTGCATTAGATGATCAGATATTACTGGACTCTTTCAAGCTGTTAGCTTCAGTAACATTTCAAGTCTTCTTGATGTGCCTGATTGAGAGATTATGCCATATAATTTTCATGCCCATTTAATACAATACACCTGAAATATCTAAGTTGCAGGGTATCCATTCTTTTCCAACTTCAAATAGCTAATCTAACCCTCTTTATGAAGGCTTGTTTATAAGCATCAAAAGGCAAACAATGGGAAGTCATCCTTTTTCAAAGGCTGACTGAGGCCCAGCTCATTCTTGTATCAGTTCTAAATGCAGACAGAAAGCACCCTTCTAGCTTACTGTCTGCATTCAGAACTGATACAAGAATGAGCTGGGCCTCAGACGATAGAGGGGAACACATGCCTCTATGATCCTGCAGCTTAGCAAGGCTTGTTTTGCCCGGGGGGGGGGGGGGGGGGGGCGGCAAACAGGGACGGAAAGGTTGTGTCAACTTTGACTTGTATCTTTGTTGTTCAAAGAATTTAAAAGGAAATTCAAATAAAGGCCCTAGACAAGTTTATTCTGATGTAGTTTCAGTTGATTATGTCTATCACTGTTAACTCCTGTTCAGAATTAACAGAGGAACTTGAGGCAGACAAGGTTCTTTGGGGAAATCCAATATCTTTTATTAGACCAACTCAAATAGTTGGAACTTGATGCATGCATGAGGAACTCAATGCATGCATAGCCATCACTGGAACTTGAAGACATTTTATATAATTCTTTCCTCTCACTTACCTGACGTTTAACTCCCAAGTATACTACAGGCCAATCCTGGAGAAACCAATGGGACTCTGCATGAACAGATGGGTCTGTCTCATGGATCTAAATGTATGACTAGGAACAAAGGTTGGAAGTTCCTGAGGTTATAGGTTGTGCCTTCAGTTGCAGTGTAATATATAGTATGTACTTCTATAGCACTGAACTAATATGTAATACTAAGCACTATACATACTGCAGATATTATGAATATTAATGACCAAATTATAGAACTATTAGTATTATGTATAGATGCTGTTAAACTATTCAAATTATGTCAATGCAGTATTATTGCAATGATGACAATGCAGTTTATATTACTCAAGATGCCAATGTTGTGTAAAAGGAAAGGGATTTCTGACAAGTGAGATGATTTTGAGCAATTTTGATTTCCTGTCAAGTCATTTGTTAAAGCAAGTCTGAACAAAAATCTAATAAAAAAATAGTGCTAGGTGGGGGCTCTCATTTTTTTAGCCTTCTTGTGCAGGATATTTATAAAGAACCTTATAAACTGCCTTGGAGGTTTTAAGGAGCTTGGAGTAACTGTATAGTCCAGTGGTCTCCAACCTTTTTAAGTAGGAGATCACCTTTGGCATTTAAAAATCAACCCAAGATCTACTGTGAGCCACCACATCACCCTCCTCCCTCCAAAGGTAAGTCTATGGGGAGGGAAGGGCAGAGAAGCAGATTGAGGCACATGGAGAAAAAATTTGGGGGACTGCCTCCCCAGCAGCTAAGTCCCATCTGGCCAGGTCCCACTCAACTTACTACTGCTCCTGCCTGTGGCACTGATCCTTCACTGTGGAGGCCTCAATCTAGACCCTGCCCCTTCCCTCCCCCACGCACTCAGCCCCTCATCCCAGGCTCAGAGTGACTCCAAAAGGCTCCAAGAACTACTGGTGGATCAAGATCCACTGGTTGATGACCACTGGCATAGTTGGTTGTAAATTTTGTTAGGAGAGGGGAAAAGAGGATATTATATACAAATTAGAAGGATCTGAGATTGTCATAGTTGTTTCATACAAGGAGACAGAAAGAAAAGTAATTGTTTTACCTCACTGATTACATAAATAAATTATGAAGCTATAGTTTATGTGAAAATGTGGTCAATAAGGAGACTTTGTATTTAAAGATAAAAAGAGAGAGGTAGTATTTAAAATAAAACAAAGAAATAAAGATAAAGAGAACTGGCCTTATAAAGTAACTCATTGTGGACTTCATCTCCTAAACCACAATAAAAAACAAAAAAAAAGAAAGATTTAAATGGGTTTAGTACAACACCAGAATCAACTTCATAAGGGAAATATATCTATTTATTTTATGATCTGGGATCTTCTTAGGAGAACACAAGCCCCTTGCCTAATACTGTACTGTTCAGACACCATATAACAAACCCATCACAGGAACTAGCAAAAATTCTGTTTAAACAAAGTGCATGGGCTTCACTGCAGGAGCTCAGGACAAAAAACGAACTTCTCGGGCCACAAAGTCCATTGTAGAGTCTTGGCAAACATGTTTTTGTAACAGCAGTTATTTTTACAGCAGATTTTTACTAACAGATGGACATAGATTTATACATGTTTGGGTCAGAAGGAACCTCAACAGATCATCGAGTCTGGCCCCCCACCTA